AGGGAATTAAGAGGGAAGAAAATCCTACTCCTTTAAAAGTACTTCCAAATGAGTCATTTGTTAGTGCGTTTATGTGCAAATCAAAAATCTCAAAGAGGGCTAAGAATTTTAAAGAAATTTCAAAATCTTCATTGAGTATTTACCAAATATAATCAAAAATTAAGTCTTAATTTCAAAAATGTCACTTTTTATAAAAACTTCCAAAAATATCCAAAATTTCACTTAAATAGGCACAAATGCCCTCAAGTTTAACAATTAAATATGTGAAACCCTGCCCTAAACTAATTGTAATTTCATTTAATGGGAATTATGAAATTACCTTTTTGTCCCCAATCTGGTTTCTTTTTGGGATTTCCTCATAACTCTCTTCTTTTCATTGCCTGCCGCGTGGCACACCCATCTCATATCTCCCTCTCTCTTCTTCTCTCTTCTCCCCCGGGTCAACTCTCTCTTTCTCTCTTTTTCAGCTCACACATTCTCTCTCAGACCTTTCTTTCTCTCTCTTTCCCGGCGACACCTAAACACCCACACCCTAAATCTTAACACCCCGACAACGATGGCTGCACCATCATCATCACCGCATTAGCTTTCTCTCTCATTCTCTTTCTTCGTCTTTGTGGAGCACAGAGGATCTCCTGCGAGTCCAATGACTTCAAGCACCAAATTCGGCCACTTCCCAGCCACGACGAGGGACTACGAAGGTACAAATTTGTCCCTTTCATTTCTACCTTCATTTTTATAGGTAGATCGTAGGGTTAGGTGGTGAATCGACATCAACCGGAGCTCGGGAGGCTCTGGCCTTCTTCCTCGATGGGAAACGGGTCAGTTGACCCAAACCTGAAACCCTTAACCCAATTAACCAGGGCCTTTGGGCCGTGCTAGCTCGGGCCTATGGCTAGTTAAACCCCAAACCTAAACCCATTTATATAAACCCAATCCAAAAACCCTTGGCTCGGGCTTTCAGGCCTAAACCTAGGGCCTTCAGCCCATTAAACCCAAAACCCATTTTCCCTTGGGACGGGTTACCAGCCCAAATCCAATAGGCCCAAGCCTAGGCCCAGACCCGGATCCGACCCAACCCAATCGGATCCCAGGACCCTAGGTCGCGCATAGGGGAGCATGAGGCCGAGCCAGTGTCAACGCGTGGAGCGCACGCGTCGTCAGCGACCCACAGCGACGAATGGCTACCGGAATCGCCACCTTGCGACTATTAACGGCGATTTTGTCTTTTCAATCGTTATGATAGAGTTTTATTAATTGGACTCTTTATGTGCTTAAGTGCGACTATTAACGGTAATTCTGTCTTTTCTATTTCTCATGGCTCATCGAAGACGAAGTATTTGTGAGTGGACCCTTTCTAAAATACATGTTTTAATAATAGAATGCATACATGAAAAACATGATTTAATGGTTACATTTTATGAGTAAATTAGATTTACACTTTATGATTATCATGCTTTACTGACAATATTTTGGAATACCATACTTTATCGAATTTATGTTCTTTGTAGTATATATGATGGATGACTATATACTATTTATGAACATATTTTTACACTCTTTGTAGTATATATGATGGATGACTATATACTCTGTAGATGATTTCAGATATATTTACTTATGCTAGAAAGATTATATTCAATGTTTTTGTGCGCATCTAGTGATCACTGTCCTGCCTACGGGCGTATGTTCTACCTATAGGTGTATGTTCTTCCTACGGGCGTATATCCTGCCTACGGGCAATGGTTCTGCCTACGAGCGTATGTTCTGCTTACAGGCGCGTGACGGTCCTGCCTACGATGTATGTTCTGCCTACAAGCGCGTGATGGAGAGCCTTCGGGCGATTATAATATCACTAGTTAGCACACTATATATGATATATGTTTAATGAAAGGTTTTTATTTTTATTTTTATGACATGCTAGGGTTTTCGGAAAACCTATCATATATTGTGCTATTAGTTGTCATAAACTTTGAGGGTTAGTATGTTGTTGAATAACTGTTTTCGTATTACATATATATCAACTTGGTCCACTCATGTTTGTTTTGCGTCTCCTCAGGACACAGGAACGAGGCTTATGATCTGAGCTACGAGGCATTCCCCTACCAGTGACATCGTGCCATCCTGTCTGCTTGTCATCACTTGTAATAGCACATTCCGCTTGTATTCTTATTTATATGTATGCTCTGAATATGTCATGCATTATCACTCTCATTATCATTGTTGGTAGTTGAATATTATTATATTATTTTTATAAGGCTTATGTTGGAATATTATATTGCGTAGTTCACGCGAAATTTACATGCATGTTTCACATGTTATCAGCATATGCATTCATTAAATAGCTTGCGTCACCCTCAGGTGTCGGCCATCACGTGGCCATCCCTACGTCCCCCGGACATTGGGATCGGGGTGTGTCAAAATAAATTAAAGGCTTTTTAGCTATTGTCGCCTCAAGCTCCAGTCCAACTTCACATTTGTTTCTACACTCCACCACCACAACCCTATCCCTTTTGACCCCTCATCACCAACATTGAGCGCCGCCGTGGGTACCGTAAGTGGGAACAACATAATTTCAATTATGCCTTCAACGCTTTTTTCTTACTAATATCATGTTTAATTTTAAATATAAAAATATTTTTTAAAGTTAATCCACACGTCGTTATATGATTGTATTTGTAAGATCCACGTGGCGCCACATTATCACACTGACAGAGCTTTCATGAAAAAACTAAAATGATCACAATGGACAAATTCAAAGAAAGACTAAAATGATTCACGATAGACAAATTCAAGAACATTACTATTGATTATCGTTAATTGTTAAGGACCAAATTAAGGAGTTATGTTAATGTTACAAATCATTTTGACTTAAAACCTTTAATTTATTTAATTGTTAAATTTGAGGGTATTTGTGTCTATTTAGGTGAAATTTTGGATATATTTGAAAGATTTTATAAAAAGTGACATTTTTAAAATTAAGAATTAATTTTTGACTATATTTGAAAAATACTCATCTTCATCAAGTTATTAGTTTACATATATTTCCAACGCTTTTATTACGCGGTCTCATCTTCCACTCATATTTGTCATTGTTCTCTCCCCATCCGTCAACTTCACTTCCTTGCAGAGTAACTCTCCAGGAGCTACTAAACTAAAGGTAATTTTAATTTGGAGATGATTTCCTCTCTTTTAACTCCTCTTTTTCATTACAAATTTCTGATTTAATTCAGTGCAATCTTTTATGTGGTCCGCTCAAATCGTCAATTTCTCTAACGTGTACGTTTGTTCTTCTATTTAATCTTTGATTTGTATGTCTAATTTGGTTTCTACTTTAGGGTTTTTGAAAATTATGTTCTTGTATTTTCTGCAATACAATTGCAATGGGATAACATAAATTTGTGTTTTAGTTGTTCCATTGATTTGTATGTCTAATTTGTTGGACGTTGGACCATAATCCAACAATTAATAGGTCTACACAGTTAATTTAAGGATTACTTGGAATATAAATAAGATTATGATTTAGTTAATAGCTATAGCTTGTACCCTAAGTAAAGCAAATATATTCCGGATTTCCTTGGGGAATAAAGGCGCTTAATTCTATCGTATTTGGAATGAGATTTGGTGTATCAATTATCCTTGGACTGCAAGGAATCCTAATGACATTATTATGGGAAGATTCATTAGGGTTATGTCCATATAAATACATGGTTAAGATCCCTGCTCACAACACACAGAAACTCATATGAACGTCCCATTAGTTCGAGTATAAAGGAGTGTTGAGTGTGCAAAAGACTTTGGTCAACTAACATAGTATTCGGCAGGATTCCAATACAATTTCCACCAAAGGAGAAGTCCATGGTTGAGCATATTCTGCATCGTTTTGTCAAATATGGTTCATCTTTCCTACATGCCATGTTGACTTCAAGTACTCTATCAACTGAGTATAATTTATGGACTCTTTCAAGTGAGTGTTTTTATTTGTTTATGAAAAATATAAAATCTAACATAATTTGGTTTCTATTATGAATTGTGTTGAAGTTTGTGGAAAAAAAAAATTAGCTTTTAGTTTTTGTTCTATACTATATTAGTTTTATGATCATAATATAATTATTCAATATATTGTTAAATAATGTGAAAAGTTCTACCGCCATCATATAAAACAAATAATAATTTATATTAAATAGTTCTACTTCAAGTTACAATTTGACATTTTTTATAAAAACTCGACACTTAATAGACGCACAAGTGGCATCAATGCGATTAATGATAAACTATTTCCCATTTTTCTGAAATTTTCATATTATAACAATTTACACTTTACAACACAAAAATTGCAGTGCGTTAGCAACAATGATTATTGGGATTGACATAACTTCTCATTTTGATCATTGAGAATGAAAATCGATAAATGTAATTATAAGTTTGTTCACTGTAAATCATTTTATTATTTTGTGAAAAATCTTCACTATCCTTTTTAAAAGTATTAAACTTTACACAATGAGGATGGTGACAAATTTTTTACGAAAGAACTAAATTGATTTATAGTTGATAAACTTACGAAACACTTCTATTAATTTTGACTAACAAAAATCAAAATAAGATGTTATGTAAATATGAAAGATCGTTTTAACTAAAAAGTCGATCAAGAATTCTTACACAAAATGGTGGTAATATGATTTTATCCAATTTTCAGCAATTTTTTTCTTGGGTCAACTGTTGGTACCGTACTCGCCAATAGGCTGTCCATTATCTAGCCTCCACGTGTCGTCCATGCCCCCACAAGGTTGGTCACACAAAGCATGTGGTAGACCCACCCCCAACGCCACTAGTTTCCCTAAAATCCGCTCTCACTTTTTTTGCTAACATCTAGCCGTCCGATCAAGAAGTCACTAAAATCCCGCCTAATCCGTAGCGAGTACAAGAAAATATTACAAACTCGCAAAGATGGTTCTAGAAATGGCAAAAGCCAAAAATGCGGAAAATAGAGAGAAATTCAAGAACGGATGTTTTCGGGAACGAAAGGGAAAATGGTGTGTTGAATTTGCAGAGACCCCTTCTCCTCTCTTTCTCTCTCAAACTCCTCACTCTTCACCGCACTCTCTCTCTCTCTCTAAAACCCAAAACGCCATTTTCTCTGCCGCAGTCTCGTCCTTTCCGCCGTCGTCTGGCCGCCAGCACGGCCACCGTTTCGTTTCAGGTTCCGATTTCATCCCTTTTCCTGAGTTTTTCACTGATCGTCGTCCGAATGGCCTTCTCGTAGGCGACTTCAACGGGAGCGTCGTTATCTCCTTCGTACCTCAGGCCACGCCGTCGTTTTAAGCTCCGAGGCTGAAATCAGTGCTTCGTCAACATCAACGGCGTCGTTTGGTTGCCGGTCCGGAACTTCAGATTTCCGATACCGGCTAGGGTTTCGAAATGTCTGTTTCCAAGAAACCAAGGTATGAGTTTCGAACTCAAATGCATGTCGTTTAGCGCTGCTTGGCTTCCCGAGGAGAACAGAGTCGGGACTCTGTATTTTTGGGTAACCAAACAGAGTTTAGCTCAGATATTTCTGATTTTGTGCATTGATCTTTGTGATTCTGCTGTTTTTGTTGTTTATACTTTGTAATGGACTGTTTGGTTGCTGAGAAAATTTGGGGGGAAACGAAAGGAAAATGAGTGTTTAAGTCTTACTGAGCTGATTAGGTGGGTTTTATTGAAATCTAAACCAGACACACCTTGACACATTTACCCTTGCAAATGCTATGCTTGTTAGTTTTAAGTAATAAATTGCTCATGGTCAGTACGATCTTCTTCCCGCGTAGATTTGAGTTGTTTAGATTATCGCCTTTTAAGAAAAAAAAAATTCTTAAAAGAATGTATATAATAAATAGCAGATGTGCGTTAGACCGTTTGGCTAGAACATTGTGTTCTCACCCAGGCACCCGAGTTGGAATCCCCTCCATGTGTAGTTTAGATTTCGAGTTATCAACATTTAAAAGATTGTTGTTTAACTCTACAACTAAGTTAGATGGAACCATCTTTGAAAACATGTTTAATTACGAAACATGAGTGCAGTAAATTATGTTGTGTTATCAAACATTTACGACACACAGCAGCAGGAGGTCTATGGTTAGAGGTCAGACAGATAAAAATTGGGAGAAATCAGATGCTTGTCAAGTTAATGTATATGCTGCCACTAAGGTGGTGACATTCTAACTAGTAGTTTAAAGAGTTCAAACCCCGGTATTTGGTCCCGGGAAAGTAGAAGAAATTTTGGTTGCTGAAGGTGTTAAGTGAGATAAACATATTCGCTGTGGGATAGAGATTGAGTGCGTCTAGATTGCCTTTATGCAATGTCAGGAAATGGATTATACTTGGCGATTCATGCCTTGGTGAAATGCAGCTAGAAGAATTTAGATATGTAAAATAATGGAAAAAGGAAATGACAAAATGATAGTGGTGAAGTGTGTATTCCCTTGCCCCTAACCATGATTACTTTGTTTATATATGTCAGCGAAATGTTTCTGAAGTTTTATAAGCTTGGATTTTAAAATGTTTTTATTGTTAATGACAAAGGGAAGATAACAGATCATATCATAGAAGACCGTTATTCAGTAATTGGTCAGACATTTTGTTTGCGTTTAAAGTATGTTCAATATTTAGCAAGCACTGAAAGTCCAATCTTTATTTCATAGTACATGTGTTGGGGTTTGTTTTTCATCTGGATATTTTTGTACCTTATTGCCTTGTTTGGTTGCTTTGAAGTGATAGAAGTGACATGTCTCACAGATTGAAAGAAGAAAAGGGTTTTAGCCGGTCTGAACTAGAAGACTATGAGTATGACTATTACGATCTGTTAAAGAAAGGCAGTTATAAGGTGAAAAATTCTGATTCAACTTACAGATGCCCATTTTGTGATGAGAAGAGGAGGCGTGATTACCGACTAAAAGAGCTTTCACTACACGCTTCTGATATTGGCAGAGACAGCAGGGTTTTAAAAGAGAAAGCAAAGCACTTGGCTTTGGAGAGGTATATAGATAGATATCTTGATGTGAAGAGTCGGCTAGAATCAACTCCTAATGCCGGACGAAAATCGCACAGGACTGATGCAGTGGCTGGGGTGGTCTCTAGCCAACCCCAAATCAGAGAAAAATGTAATCATTCTGAGTCTCCAGCCGAATCCCATCTTACTGCTTGCCCGCCCCTAGCCCCCAAGCTTCCCACCCCCTATCCCAAGGCCAAACCCACCACAGCTTCTTCAGCTGGTGTTCTCCCTACTGTACATGACGATGACCAATTGTTTGTATGGCCTTGGATGGGTGTTGTGGCAAATGTTAAAACCGAATTCAAGGACGGGAGACATGTTGGGGAAAGTGGTACCAAACTCAAAACTGAGCTGGCAAGTAAAGGTTTTAACCCTGTGAGGGTTCATCCTTTGTGGGGTAGAAGGGGTCACTCTGGGTATGCCATTGTTGAGTTCGAGAAAAGCTGGGAAGGTTTCCATGATGCAAAGTCCTTTGAGAAGAGTTTTGAAGTTGATCACTGTGGAAAACGGGACTATATTCTAGCTAGGAATCGAAGAGATAACTTATATGGATGGGTTGCTCGGGATGATGATTACAGCTCGAGTAGCATTCTGGGTGATCATCTTCGTAGGAACGGAGATCTGAAAACTGTTTCTGCTCAACAAGCAGAAGAACAGAGGAAAAATTTAAAACTGGTTTCCGATCTAGCTAGCACCCTGGAGACGAAGAATTCACTAGTAGAGGAATTGGAAAGAAAATACCGCAAGACCGACAATGATCTAAACAAATTAGCAAGCGTTTTAAATAAAAAGGAGGAGATGCTCAAAGCTATCAATGAAAGTATGCCGCTCAAAACATACCCAGCTTTATGAAAATACTTTAAATTGTCTTAGTTCCTCGTTTTATTCCTGTGTTTGCTTACTTTATAATATATTTATTATGTTGTTAGAAAGAGAAAAAATGCAAAAAGCTGCCCGTGAAGACCTGGAGAAGATATGCTTAGACCACAAGAAAGCCGCATTGAAGTTGGAAGCTAAAAAGAAAGAGCTTCAGCAACGTGAGAAACAACTGCAGGAACACCGTGCACAAAATGATAGCGAGAGAAGGAAACTCTATCACGAAAGGGAAATGGTAATCTAGTTGTTTCCATCTTAAATTTAATAAACATAGGCTCTGTTTGAATATTGTGCAGATGTACCAATGGCATTGACTACTGACTTGTATTAATTTAAAGTGATGTAGCTTGTAAGTAGATACACTAACATCTGGGAATCAGAATTTCAGGAGGAGAAGAGAGAAAGAGAGAACAAAGAGAATAAGATTAACAAATCAGAACATGTACATTTAGTTTCCTTTTACATTTTTCTGCTGTTCCACGTATTTGGTATTCCATGGGAATAACACAGACTAGTTATATACACGTGTCCCACATGCTTCTGGTGGAGTCAGTAAGGTAAGTTGAGATTGTACAGAGTTGACCTATGGCATAGCAGTTATCGTTGTGAATGTCTGGTTTCGTTTGCCTTAATTTGGCATCTATCTTTGCTTGTGATATTCTTGGCAATTATTATTCAGTACAGCGTAATATAGGGTTTTTTTTTTTGGGCTTTTAGAATGAGCGCGCTACCTTGGAACAAAAGACAGCTGATGAGAAGATGTTATGGTTAGCAGAAGAACAGAAGGTTTGTTTTCCATTATTATTTTGAAACTTTGGGAATTGAATGAATGAAACTCTGAACATTTTTGTATGCTGGTTTAATTTCAATTGCAGAAAGAAAAGGAGATGCTTCGCAAGAGAATTATTGAATTGGAGAAGCAGCTTGATGCCAAACAGGTACTGGAGCTTGAGATAGAGCGAATGAAAGGTGCTGTAAAGGTGATGAAACACATGGAGGAGGATGAGGATTTGGAAGCCAAGAAGAAGGTGGAGGAAATTCAAAGCCAGTTAAAGGAGAAGGAGGAGGAGTATACTGATGTAGAGGAACTTTACAAAACACTTCTTGTTAAGGAGCGGAGGAATAATGATGAAGTGCAGGAGGCTCGTAAGGAACTAATCAATGTATGTGCATTTATTTTTCTGGTTTAGATCTTGGGGGTTTTATTGAATTGAACTCTGCAATTTGGCAATTAATTATTTTCTTCTTCTAAATACCTCCGTGCATTCGATATAGAATTAATTTTTTATGAAACAATTATGCCTTGATAAACTATAGACTATGGACTATACAGTGCATGAGTTTGAATAGCATGTATATATTAGCATGCTGAAAGCATGATGAATGCTGCTCTATGCAGTTTCATAGGCTTTAGTTTCTCTTTTAAGCTAGAAAGTCACATTAGCAATGTGATGATCTTTTCTCATCAGTGTGGGTCGCTGATCACAATCTATGCTTATGGTTTGTTGATCTGGGTCCTTGCTTATCAATATGGTTTATCAAATGCGGTCTGTGCTCTTGCGGTGTTGTGGGAGTCTAACTTTTGTTATATGCAGGGACTGTGGGATTCAACCCACCGAGCTACTATTGGCGTGAAGAGAATGGGAGATCTTGATCAGAAGCCATTTCAAATTGCAACCAAGGAGAAATACTCCAATGAAGAAGCAGATGAGAAGGCCGTGGAGTTCTGCTCTCTGTGGGAGGAGTATCTTAGGCATCCAAACTGGCATCCTTTCAAGATTATCACGGATCAAGAAGGAAAGCCTAAGGTATACATTCAATAAATCAAGCAATCTTTGTTGGTTCCTTTCGATGAATAAATACATAGAATACCATTGTTGACGACTATCGTGTACATGTTGCTCTTGTCATAACAGTTCAACTCATAATGAGTGCCAGTGGTTTATAACGATTGAGGTATTCCTGTTGCTCTTACTTTCCATTAACTGGGTTATGCTGGATGTGGGTACAGGAAATTATTGATGAAAATGATGACAAATTGAAGGATTTGAAGAATCAGCTGGGTGATGAAGTATACAAGGCAGTGACAACTGCTTTGATGGAATTGAATGACTATAATCCCAGTGGACGCTATATAATACCTGAGCTGTGGAACTTCAAAGAAGGAAGGAAGGCTTCATTGAAGGAGGGAGTAGTATTTATGCTAAACAAGTGGAAACCGCTTAGGAAACGGAGAAGATAAACAAGGCATGCATTTAAAACTTTACTTGCTATGCAAATCTATCTTGAATCATACACAGCTTTCAGACTGCGAGATATTCGAATTCCTTCAAGAACATTGCTTAATAATTTGATGTTGAGGTCAGTTACATTGTTGAAAATAGTAATCATTTAGTATATGCTTAAACGATACAAATCAATTTCGAACTTGATAGATTAGTATGAAGACTGTATATTAGGAAATTATGACATCATACATAGCATGTAACTCAACTGTTGCTTGTCGCTGTATGGTGGTTTCACATTGTAATTCGACTGTTGTTTCTTATGCATGGGTTTATTTCCTCGGCTAACTCTGACCTGAATGTGGTTTTTGTAGGTGACACAGCGGGCTTCGGTTACTGCTAAGTGTCGATTGGCCGCTGATAAATCTTCTTTTGTTGCTTCATCCAATGTCAGATTGCGAGACTGAACAAATTTAAGAATTCATTTCAGCATCAGATATAGTAAGATTGGTGAGGACAGATTTACCATTCAAATTTGTATTAGTTTTTGGATGTTGCAGCACAATACTTTGCATGTCATATTTGGACCACAAAAATAGGCTTCAGGTTGGTCTTTTGTCTCAGAGCTTTTCGACAAAGGAAGTGAAAACCCCATAGTTCTGCCAAATCGTTTCATTTTTCAGTGACAGGTTGCACTCATTACTTGGCATGTTTATATTAAAATATAGCGTTTATGAAAATGGAAATGATAAACAAACCCTTTTTAACCTTTCACAAACGCCTGTTTAATTGCCGCTATTTTTGTTTCATTCTGATGGCAAAAAAAAAAAACGAACACGGTGTGTGAGAGACTAAAAGCAGGGTGTGAAAATCATCTCTCATATGAATCAGTCCAAGACAGAGTTTCTCTTTAGTCCAAAGAAAGATAGATTGTTTTGGAATTAAAGAAAGTCTTGGGTAAGGATAGTTGTGTCGTATCCGCTCCAAGGACACACATAAGGTCATCTCTAACCAATCGGACCAGATGGTCGAAAATAGCCCGAAATGACATGAAACCGTCTTCAACTGAGAGCTAGACCAAAGAGCTCGTGGGCCTTATCGGGCCAAAAAAGGGAAAACATGCCAACTAGCTGGCCTAAAGGAGCCAGCCAGCTAGCCCCAGGCCAGCCCAAGCATTTGAATCCAACGACTGGCGTCAACATGACGCCAGGTGACTGTTGGATTTCTTTTTTTTTTTTTTTTTCCTAACAAAATTTTTTTAAAAATTTCCAGTTTTTTTCCCTATAAATACCTAAGCCATTCCTACACCATTTCTCACATAATTTTCACCATTCCATACTATCTTACTTCATTGTATTTCAATTCCTCACATTTTGTTCTCTTACATCTTCCAATAATCTTTCCTTCAATATTTCAATAATTTTCAAATGGTCACATTTGCAATGAAAGGTAGGGCTTGAACCCGAAAAGAAGTTGAAGCTCTTTTCAGGGCTTATAGATTGGTCTCGAAAGATAGTGTGATGGGGAGTTCTCAAACAAGTGAAGGTGTTTGAACTCGTACGTCCAAAAAAATACTATGAGTTCTACGAAGACACCACTCCACTGAATACCCAAAACCACGAGAGTTGTTCTTCAAGATGGAAGAAACATCTTCATCCAAGTTTGAATAAATGACATCAAGTACTGGTAAAGGCCGCAAGTAGACATGAAAGCGGCGCCAATTACTACGACGAAGTAAGTATTTTCACAATTTATTTTAAATTTTTAATTATATTACATTTAATTTCGTAAATTAATTTCCTTTAATTTTTGTAATTGTATTTTCTAGGTACGCCAAGCGGAGGAATTGTATATGGAGGACAACTCGAAACCCTTTAATCATCATGGTTGTTGGGAAATTTGTAAAGGGTGGGTGTTATTTGAAGATCCACCTCAACAAAGAGTTGGTCCTATGCCGGTGTTCGGAAATGCATCCTTAACTGCAGATGGGGATGAAGATAGATCTCCTACCATTCAAGAAACAAGGGTATAAAATCTGTCTCCTGGTGAAGGTTCCATACCTAGGGCTATGGGACGAAACAAGGCCCGAAAATTGATGGAAAAGGGTAAGGCAAAGGATGGTTACGCCTTTCAATAGGAAATGGCGGCCTCTTTGTGATTAATGGCGAAGCAAAATGCCATTGCCGCAGAAGAAATGAACTGTAGGCATGAAGAACGGGCCAAACAAATACAAAAAAAGATGGATGATAGGAATATGCAAAGGAACACTTCATATTACACTTTAATGAGTAAGGCATATTTTGATAAAAAAAAAAAAAAGGGATATTATGGCCCGACTGGAGTTGTTGACCTCAGACTATAATCCTACAATGGCGGATAATGATGATGATGATTATAGACTTTAAATTTAAGTTGTTGTAGTTTTTAAATTTAAGTTGATGTAGTTCTTAAATTAAAATAATAAATTATGTTTGGCTTATAGCCCTTTGGCCCCCTCAACTGGAGATGGTTTTTTGTCACATGACTATGTTTGGCCTATGGCCCTCTGGCCCCTCAATTGGAGATGGTAAGAAATATGGTATGTCACTGTTCATTAAAATATTAATTTCTTGAGTGGCTATAGGGCTAAAACGAGCCATCTGACCCTCCTTCGGTTGGAGATGGCCTAAGAGGATCCCTTGCATTCGGGTCCACATGAGAGCTTATATTGGTATAGTAACAAACATAAATTAATTTGAAGGAAAATTTAGACAAACACGATTTCTTAGTGTATTAAGTCATACTAAATATGAAATTCGCTTATCTCCGAAATTCAAACCTAAAAAGAAAAATTTAGCCAAACACCTTGTAAAGAAAAACTTCCAACTACCTTGTCTCTTACGAGAAAATTTTTAATATGCCGTGAACACTATCCATTACATTAAGTGTAAAAGTACAATTTGTTGAGAAGCAATCACAGCTTCTTGCATTCGCATTCCTGAGCATTTGAGCAATCTTCAGGCACAATTCCACTAGCCACCACAGCAATAGTACAATTTGCTGAGAAGCAATGACAGGTTCTCACATTTGCATTCCCGAGCATTTGAGCGATCTTCAGGCACCATTTCACTAGCCACCCCATTAGTTGTACTTTAGTTTAATTTCTGCTACATAAATTGAAAGAAATATTTTATTTTTAATATAATATTTTTAGAGTAATATAAAGAAAAACTAATGAAAATAGTTTGAAAACTTTGGGTTTTAATGATAAGAACAAAATAAAGGGTAAAATGAATAGTACCAGAATTGACTTTTTAGTGTAAAAATATGGTTTTTCATTAAAGTAACAGTACCGTGGGCTTTTCGTTAAAACTTCCTTAATATAAATATATTTAAATAATTTTAATTTCGAATAAAAAATAATAATGGCTTTACCTGACGAAACTTTTGTTGTATTTTTATTTTATTTTTGTTAAACAGTTGCCTTCGTCTGGCTAAAGTATTTAATTTCTAGAAACTTGACGCAACTATGTCGTCGAGCAAGATATATTCGTCGGGCAAGGATGGTGAACGCTCCTTTACCCAAAGACTTTGTTTCATCGGCTAAAATGTTAGGCGACTAATCCTTATTTGATCCGAAAAAATTATTTCATCTGACAAAGAGTTTTTTAAGTGTTGATTGAAAACAATTTAAAAAGAAGAAAAAAAAGGGACAAAACTAAGGGGGCGTTTGTTGCGCTGGACTATCTCGGACTGGATTAGCTTCAAGGACTAAGCTGGACTGGCTTAGACTAGACTAAACTGGACTAACTTAGTGAAGCGTTTGGTGCAGTATTGGACTAAGAAGCTGGATAATAACAAATTATAATATTATATTATTTAATATATAAATTATTAATATTTTATTATGATCTTATCTTTTTCTTCATTTTTTCCTACCATTTCCTTCCCACTCTTTTCCTCTTCTCTCATCGTCCCACCCTCTCCCTCTTTTTTTCCTCTTAGACCTCTCAATTCATGTCTCTTTCTCATTCCTGGTCAAACTCCTTATTGATTCCAGTCTCTATTTCTCTGTACTCCCTCCCTCTCTAGCTATGCGTTGTTCGAATGGGACCTCACGGCTCCAATTTTCCCGACGAGTTGTAGGTTTCCCGATGTGTTTTCCGGCCAACCCTTGTTAAATTGGATGAAGTTAGCACCGCCAAAAAATTCATCACCATCCCTGGACCGAGATCTTAGCTTTGAATGCTCGAATCTGTCATGGATTTGAAGAAGCCCAAACAGGCAGAGACTTCCAGGCCATTTTCCAGCCACATTCGACTACATTTTGGCCTCGATTCAGGTAAAATCGTAATCTTGTCACTCCCAACTTCAATTTGGTATATTTTGTATGAACATGTACTCAATGTTAAACAGTATTAAACTAATACCAATAAAAAACAGCCTAACTTCAAAAATGTATTCAATAAGAGCTTTCTTTGAGGAAATTGCTTTTACTTGGGGTTTATCCATATCAACAAAATATCAACAACATATCAATGAAATCTCAACAAAATATTAATAAAATCTTAACGTTTGGACAACATATGGATACATATTGAATTTTAGGAAGAGGGCTTTGCAATAGGGTCTTTGAACCAATTTCCCTAAACTAATGTGCCTTTAGCTTCGATTTTCAATTATTCTATCCATCCAGTACCACTTGAGTCTTGAGTTACATCATGACCTTATTAACTAAGTTTGTCTTAAGTAAAAACCATAACACTAAACTTTGTTCAATAATCTTCAACTTATTGCATGACAAATTAACCATAATCTTCAATTATGATCAACGCCCCTTGCTAGCTGATCTTTCTTCCAGCAATCGAAGGCCAACATACCTGCCCAAAGAACAAAATTTGGAGTGGGAAAACAACACCAATATATTCTTATAAAAAAAGGAAAACAAAATAAACAAATAATTTCGGAGGATTTAGTAGATATTATGTATTATGTACAGGTAATTTCTTATGGTTTTCTTTGAATGCATGAGCATGCATACCTGCCTAACATCATAAGAGTGGCCTGAGGATTGGTCCCTGGTGATAAACTTTTGAACACAGATCCATCAACAACACGTAATGCCTTGATCCCCCTGACCCGGAAATCTCCATCAACTACCTTTCCGACGAGGCATCCACCATGGTAGTGCCAAAATGTGGCTACTGTATCTCGACAGAATGTTTCAAAAGATGCAACATCTGACTGGTTCATTGGTAAAGGCGGTCCAAAAAGGTTAAAACCATCTTCGCCTGGCAAATCTCGAGTTTTAAATGGTTTCAATGCATTTGTTTTTAATAAATCACCCATTTTTCTCACAACACTAACACAACGAGAAAGGTCTGCCTTCTTTGCAAAGTAGTTGAATTTGACATTTGGGCTGACTTTGACATCATAGGATGATTGCAGTTTAAGAGAACCATAGGACAAGGGTGCTGGATTTTTGGTAACAATTTGCCCGAAAGTTGAATTTATCGTCATGGGAATAGTTGGATTAGGGAAAAGACTAAAGGCCATAGTAGAAAATGGCAAGCCGGACACAGTCTCTATATAGAAATGACTTGTGATACCAGCAATCTGTGCAGTAGAAGGTTCTAGTTCAGATGGGGGCAAAATGGTAACGTAATTACGAGGATTGTCACGCATAAA